CCCCCGGGCTGGAATATTTGGCTTTGGAGAGAGAGGTCTGGGCCTCCTTGCTAAAGCTGCTGCTCCCAAGAACCAACTTGGAACAAGTGGAAGATAAAGGATGGATATTATCCATCCTTTATCTTCCACTTGTTCCTACTATCTGATTGTAGGGCTGTAGCGATACATTAATCTCATGATATGATACAATATTCGATATTCTGCTCACGATACGATATATGTATATCACAATATTCAGCGAATGGTACGATTCGATTTTCTGAACGATTTTAGAGGGACAGAGTGATTTTGGTGACATTTTGTGACGGTTCCATAGACTTAGATTGAATTAACTGAACTGAAAACTGATTAAAACCAGCAACTACAAAATAACTGGCTCTGATTGGACAGAGACCTGGTCTACAGCTGCACAAAATTAATCAAAGATGCGGTGAGAAAATTAGTTTTCTTTGAAACAGTGCAAACTGTAGCTTACAAGGCTAAATAATATTTAGTTCAATTCAGGTAACTTGGGCCAGTAAAGAGCAAATTTTCCCAATTCTTCAAGATTTGATGTTTATGATGAGAGTAATTAACACAGTTAAAGACTTGGAGMTAAATTATTTTGTTCCCATGTTACAGAGGGGGAACAGGTTATTTTAAGCAACTGAAATATTTGGTTCTTGTATCAGCAATAAAAAATTATAAATACACACAATGTGTTGGAAGACAGTGTTTGGTGGCAGACTGATAAATAGTGAGGCTAAAGACAACATGAGAAAAGTTGGAAAAGGACTGATAAGGACTCATTCTGTGATTTAAAAAAGGCCAGGTTTTATTTATTTTTTCATTTTAGAGTTTTTTTTTAACAGCAGCTGATGATAAAACTGAAAGTTACCTTGACAAGATTATGAGTCCTTTTACTCAAAAATGCTGTGAAAATGGTCGGATCCTCCTCTCTGGCTGCAGTGTGCCCTCCAGACACGGGGACAGATTTTCACAGGGGAACTGAATTTCACACAACACCCTCTAAGCTCAAGGCGTTAGACGCATGCCTGCCTGCCTTACGTAACGTGACYGCTGACTACAGTCGGAAAAAGAGCTCTCCAGATGAAACACTTCAATTTGTCTTAAAATACAGACATTCTGACTAATAAGTAACTGTTGGGGCGGCTGTGGTGCAGTGGTAGAGCAGCTGGCTTTGGGACCCGCAAGTCACAGGTTTGACTCCCCGCCATGCCTACATGCCGTTGTGTCCTTGGGCAAGACACTTCACCCACCTTGCCTACTGATGGTGGTCAGAGGGGCCGGTGGCGCAGCATGGTAGCCTCGCCTCTGTCAGTCTGCCCCAGGGCAGCTGTGGCTACAATATAGCTTACTGCCATCAGTGTGTGAATGTGAGTGTGAATGAATGATGCATGAAAAATTGTAAAGCGTCTTTGAGGGTCTCGAAAAGCGCTATATAAAACTAATGCATCATTATTATTATTATTAACCTTACCTCAGCTTAGAAGGGTGTTGATATTTTCTGCTCAGATTCAGCTATCAGTGCAAGAAGCTAATGTTTACTCACCATGCTAATGCTACCCTTACTCTCTGGCTGTGTCCAAAACGGCAGGACAGGTCCTCCGAAGGCCGAATTTGTTGGCCGCATACGTCACAGCGCCGCGACGAAGGACGTCCAAAACCGAAGACTCCTTCGATGCAGCCGACAAATACGTCCTTCCTTTGGCCCGAATCGAAGGACAGGTCTGATGGATCCTTCCCGGCCCAGCGTATCCCATAATGCATTGCGGCCTGACCGGAGATTTTTTTATGCTAGTAATGGCGGACGAAGCGAGAGAAAAGAATACGTTTTAAATAAAAATGTGGTGATTTAAAAATTAAAATAATTCAGCGGTTGTAATTCTAATACTTTTATCATTTGTATGGACATGTTTTTAAATATTATTTTTTTGTCATAAAAAACGCGAAATAAACATGCACCTACAGCAGGTCAATTAGTTCTTCAAATGTTACCTTTAAGTTAATTTTATAGTTTTGTGATATTAATAATGCTAATATATTGATATTTTTCTAATTTTGATTTAAGTTTGCTTGTTTAGCGTCGTCACAGTTGCTAGGTGACATGACGTACGCCGGGGTAAGGAGGGGAGGCTAGACCGTCCAAATTCACAGTCTCTTTTTTTCCGCTCTTCCCGGTCTACCAAGGACCCGGCCCGCCGCGACCGGGGAGTCTGGGTCCTCCGGAGAACCCGGCCTGTCGTTTTGGACACAGCCTCTGGCTCCTTAGGAGTAGAAGAGCCAAATGTCTGTCTGACTGCTGCCAACTAGTGGTCAGAGGCTGAACTACAACATAAAAATGAACCGTTGGAAAGTTGACGTTTTAAACCTTAAGTAAAAATCGATACAGGGCTTTAGAAWATCGATACAGTATCGGGAAATGAAATATCGATATACTGTATATCGGTGTATCGATATTTTCCTACACCCCTAATGGATAGATGGAAATTACAATCTGTACAGCATTTCATATTGATTAGACAATTACTTGCAACATAAAGATCCTAAAGCCAGAAGTAGTCCAGGAACATTTGTGTGATTATGTTTGGTTGTATATGTGTATCAATGTTGATGCTCTTTAAAAAATAATTCACAATCTCCACCCCAGGTGAAGACTTTGTGCCAGGAACTTTTGGTCCAGGTGTGTGACCTCCTCAGGCTGAAAGACTGTCACCTTTTTGGACTCAGCGTCATTCAGAGTAAGACTTTTCTTCCTCTTGTGTGCTACACTCATCAAAATGCATTTGTTTTTTGTGCAACTTTATTTGTGTCCTCAGAATGCTMTTGCATCATCTAAATCAGGGGTGGGCAATCCTGGTCCTTGAGGGCCGCAGCCCTGCATGTTTTACATGTTTCACCTCTCCAACACACCTGTAAAACATGCAGGACTGCTGCCCTCAAGGACCAGGATTGCCCACCCCTGATCTTAACAATCTGAATCTGTGCTCAGTAAAGTGAGCAATACATTAGTTTGTGTGTTTTGCAAAAAAAATAAATAAATAAATAAATAAAAAGTAATCTGAGTGTTATTAGAAAGTCTAAAGTATGGTTCATAGTAATTGTTTTTTTAAGGATCAAGTTGGACCCATTTTATGCATTTTTTCATAACTTTCTCAATTCATTTATTTCAAACTAGAATTCTTTTTTTAATTGACATTATATTATATATATATATATATTAACATAGTTTTGTCCACACCCGAGTTGTAGGAGGAAAACTTGTGTCTTTTAAAAAACATTTATTTCTTGTTAACCGCGGAGATGAAAATAAGATGTGGACATTCACTTGCTCATAAGTCTATCTTGCTAATTTAACAATTATCTTCTGCTCTCTGGGAGCACAGCAGATTATTTTCAGCAACATGGGGAAGCTCACATGTAGGGCAGGCATTTTAACATAAAATTGGCTTTACAGCACTGATATTCCAAATATCTGAAATAAATAATGCTCTAATGCTCTGCTGTTGATTATCGTTCTGTGTTCAAAAGCCCCCACCCCCGCCTTTCCAAGGCCAATACTCTAGGGGAAACAGTGGAGATGTTTAAAAAAGTTGACTAAGGGGTCTCTGCAGTAGGTTTTGCCTTGTGGGCGGAGACGTCCCTGCTCGTGATTGGCAGAGGTCTTAATGTGGGCGGAGATGGCCCTACTCATGATTGGCAGAGGTCTTAATGTGGGCGGAGACGGCCCTACTCGTGATTGGAGGAGGTTTRGATGTGGGTGGAGATGGCCCGAGACGTGATTGGTCGSATTGACGGTGGGGTTTGAGGAGGCTGGAGGCAGCGGGGAGTAGCTTGGTCGAGTCGGGCAGGAAGCAACACATTTTTTAAGATTAATTGTGGTCACAACTTGAGAAAGGAAAGTGCTAGCTGCACGAAATTTGAACGTCATACATGTGAAAGGATGTGTAACTATATGGCTTGGTTAAAACATCCCTAACCAGCCTGTGAAAAGATCGCTAAAAATCAGTATTTTTTTACAGGCTGGTTAGGGATGTTTTAACCAAGCCATATTGTTACACATCCTTTCACATGTATGACGTTCAAATTTCATACAGTTAGCACTTTCCTTTCTCAAGTTATGACTAAAATTAATCTAAAAAAACATTACTTCCCGCCCGACTCGACCAAACCCCTCCATACCCCACCATCAATCGACATCTCTTGGGCCATCTCCGCCCACATTAAGACCTCGGCCAATCACGAGCAGGGACGTCTTCGCCCACATTAAGACCTCGGCCAATCATGAGCAGGGACGTCTCCGCCCACATCAACACCTCCGCCAATCACGAGCAGGAACGTCTCCGCCCACATTAAGACCTCGGCCAATGACGATTTGAGCCGTCTCCGCCCACAGGACAACACTTTCTGCAGAGACCCCTACTTGAAAAAGTTAGCTGCATATATTTATTTATCATATTATCAATAATACAATTCATGACCTGACTTATTGAGTGACTCAGTCTGCAGTGTTTGCATCTACTTAATCAGTTGTCCTCATACATTATATACCTCTGTGTATAGCCATGTTAACATTTTTGTAGTACACATTTTAGTAGAGTACACATTTTTCTTATATTTTATTACATGTTGAACGTTTTTGTAACCTTTCATGTCGGGAAGGTAACCTTTGGTGTCACTTGCTTAAAGGGCCAATATTATGTTTTTCTCAGGCATATATTTAAATACTATACCATAATAAAGTATCTATGTCACCTTTAGTTGTAATTAAAATGTTGTTTTATGTTTAAATAGAAAATAAACTTATCTTCTCATCACTTCCTCTTCGAAATGCCTTGAAATTGGCCTCTGTCTCTTTAAAAACACCTTTGCTTCTGTCTCGCCCATTTCGGTG